AAAGTGTGGAATATATACACATTAGAGTCCTACGCAGCAGTAAAAAACAATGACTTCTCGAATTTTGCATGCAAATGGATGGAAATAGAAAATATCCTGAGTGAGGTAACCCAGACCCAAAAAGATGAACATGGGATGTACTCACTCATAATTGGTTTCTAGCCATAAATAAAGGTCACGGAGTCTATAATTGGTGATCCTAAAGAGGCTAAATAAGAAGGTGAACCCAAAGAAAAACATATAGTTATTCTCCTGGCTATGGGAAGTAGACAAAATTACTGGGCAAAAAATTGGGATCTTGGGGGTGGGGTGGGATGGTGGTAAGGGGAGATGGGGAGATAAAAATGAGAAGGGGAGGATGGGGGGAACATGGAGAAACCTGAAGTGTTTCTTGACAGTGCAACTACATTGGTTGTTCAATGCACACTGACTAGAGTGTCTATGTAGCTGTCTCTACTATTGTCCATCTTCACGTGTGTGGCAGCTCATTCCTCCTCTATGGTTTCTGAATGCCTTCAAGGGAGGAGCTGTTTCCTGTCATTGACTTTGCACAGTCCTCGTGTCCCCTCCTGTAGCCTTTACTGGACTCAATATCAAGTCCATGACTACTTTTCCCACCAGAAGCAAAAAGCAGTTTACCAGAATCAGCAAATAACCAGGGAACAAGCATAATAAATTGTCATATAGATGCAGACTTTAAAAGAAAACATGGGTTTTGAATTTTAATCCCTGAATAAAATCAATATCGTCATACCTGAGAAATTAAACACTACAAGTCACTTTTTTTCTCAGTCCCTTGAAGATGTTCTTAGTCTGGTTTTGAGAGACCTTCCTTGGAAATCCCATGACTTCTTGTTTTTCAAGTGTATTCGTGAAAGACTAATTCAAGACTAGCTTTCTTTTTGCAGATCCCTAAATATTTTTAAAATCTCCCATGAATTATGTACATGGCTGCTCCAATCAGCAACACACCTGACAGAAGCCCCAGCTGAAATGAAAGTCCACAGTGTAAAGCTCAGGGAGGCTGACCACCTCCCACTGTGAGCTTATAGACAGAACTAAGTCAGCACACATTATATGTCACTGCCGACATCAGAAGGAATCAGCTCCTTTGATCTTGGACCTCCACAGGAAGCTTAGATCTCAGACAAATTAGATAAAAAATAAATTTATAGTAGATATGTATCCTAAGGCATTCAGCTGAATGTTTGGGTTTAAGGGAAGGAAGGTTAGTGAGTATCAAAACATATGAATTAACATTCCTCCTTCCCACAAAAGCCTTGCTCTTGGGTCTCCACTACAATGGAAACATGACTTCAGATTTCTCAACCATGCTTCTTAGTATCCATGATCAGGCATGCTGAAACTTCTGGGAGAACATATAAGCTGTGGGCAAGATGCATCTCTGTTCTACTAATATAAGGACACCTTGTGTTGAGGACCTCCTGAGTGTATGCATGTCAACTATAACTTCTGCAGCTCTCTTAGTCTTTTTTACTTTCAGAACATTCTCAAACATCAACCACATGTTATGCCTCTCACTTGTAAAGTTTGCTCTGGTAAGTATCCTTCACTCATTTTTTTTCTTTTTGTTTTACATCATGAGCATTAGCAACGAGGGTCCTCTCATTCTCTATCTTCATCTGAAAAGCTCACCTTTTTTTCTTACCCCTGTTCTATGTATGGTGTTCAGTGTTGACTCACTGGAGTTCTTAGTAGGATTGTTTTATATGAGACTCATGGCGTCTAAAGCAGAGGTCAGTTAGTAGAAGGAATCCACTCCTAACTTGTCAATAATGTTGAGAATCTTGCCCACATGTTACAGAATGTAAACGTAGTTCATAAACACTATTGCCTGTGTTCTCTTTAAATTCCATACTTCTTTATGTGGAAGTTATTGTTTAGTTTAATAAACAACACATTGTTCATCAGAAAGTCAAGAAACTTAGAGAAAATAATGTCCCTAGTGCCCTGCACACTTTTGGTTTGGAGACACTTTATCCAGCTACTATATGTCTGTGAAATTGTCTTTTTTGCTTAAAAAATGTAGCTCTGGGTAAACACTCTGTAGTCAAGTTGACTTGTTTCTTGTGTAGATTACTTTGCTTTTAAATCTTTTTATGTTAACATATAAAGAACTGGATTGTATTGTCATTTTTATACATGTGTTACTGTACTTTGTTCTCTTCTATTTCTCTTTACCACTGGCATTCTTTACAACTCTATTTTGTTCCTCTCTTAACAGATTATGTGTCTAACCCTACAAATGTTTAATATGCACATATATTTCCATTATTGTGTTAGTATACGCTAGTATTAGTATCACATGATCTTAAGAATAGTAACATAAATTTCAGCTCTCTGCTAGATCATGACATTCCCACTCCCATGTCATCAATTTACTTAATTTGTTTTAGAAGATTAGCTCTTTCTCATTGGTTTATACTTTATGATGAAATTTAAAGTCATCTTATGCCACTTGACATTGTATAAAAGGGTTGAAATTAAATTAATATGTCTTTGTAATTATTAAATCTATTTACAACCATGTCATTACCCCTGAATATACTCTTTAACCTATTTGGCAAAATATAGTTTTTAATAAGTTCACCATATCTTCTTTTAATCTTCTTCAAAGCCAATCACATACTAAAGCCAACTTCATTATACTTCCAAAGTGCAACTTATTAGCTTATTATATTAGTTCACTTTGTGATGCTCTATGAAATACCTAAACCATGGAGGGTAACTTCACAAAAAACAATGATCAGCTTTAAATGCCAACATCATCTGCAAATGGTCTCCAACATTGTCTTTTTAATATGCCTACATTCCAGTGTCAAAAATGTGCTGTAAGATGATATGACTAATTTACTTGTTTGGTTCTTATTTGAGTAGAAAATCTAAAGTTTTATTGTTAATTAATTTTTTTAGCAATGGAACTGTTCAATTAGTGTGTATTTGCAGTTATTTTAGAAAAATAGGCACTAGATTTTATTCATGTTTTTAAAATGGGAAATATTTACTCCCTTTTTTATGTGACATAGAGAAACTATTAGTCAATGGTTTTCAAATACAGTTACCCTTACCTGTGGGCTTAGAGAAATGTCTTAAAGTACTCCCCTGTCTTTTCCAATGTTTTTTAATATGATAATTACTGTGGTAAAAAAAAGTTCTGGTTAGAGATGATATAAATTTATATCAGAAGATAAGATAGACACAAATAAGTCTGCATTAAGTAGCCAAGAAAAAAGTGTTGTAGCTACTCCTAGATAAAGGGGTGTGAAGAATGTTTCATTTTGAATTTGAAGAAATGTGAGGAGCTAGAGATGTGGACATATATGAGAACATTTTGGAAGGGAAGCCTTTGTTGTACACTGAAGGTAAAGATACAGGAGAAGAGGAAGACACAGACCGCCAGATAGTAAATGTGAGTATATTAAGGATATCGTGAAATGAAGCAAAAGAACAGTAGATCAAGCACAAGAAAAGAAATCAAATTGATAAAATTCAGCAGTCAAGCTAGAGGGAAGGTGAGGAAGACTGAAGGAAGAAAGACACAGAACTTTGAGGCGTGTCGCCTGGGAGACTTGGGTGCTATTAACCAGTTTAAGAGAACAAGAGGACAGAGAAAACACACTGCAGGTCTGAGCTTTCACAGCAATGGAAGACTCTTTCTCTGGTGTTTCTACAAACCGGTGTCTGCACAGTGGACAACCAGGCCCCTAAGAAATGAGATTTGAAACAGTATAATACGATTCAGGACCTAGAGGGGCTAGCTATGTCACTTGAGATAATGCTCTTTTCCACCTTAGCACCCAGTTCCATATCTACATTCTGTAGTTTGCTGTGATTTCTTTATACTTATTGACTGGAATCCCTCTCTAATTGTCCCTAAAATTGGACCCCCAAAATGTTAGAATTTTTCATGTAAGACAGGGGACCAGATAACATCTCCTTGAAATTACACAAAGGAGGTGTAAGTTAGTATTTAGTAGATGTGATGTTGTAATTAATATTTAATTATGGTGAGAGGAACACTAAACTTCACTCATCATTCATTCTACTGGGTTCTCACCCCAGTCTAGCAAAGATGCTCTTGCCGTATTGAACCAGATAGCTCCAGGAATTATGTAACATTCTAGTACCCTTGGTTTCTATACACTCTACAACAATGTTCTGCCTTTTCCTAAGGCCTGTTGAGAAATTTTCTCCGCACATTGCAAATGTCCTTCAAAGCAACTGTAATTAACCTTCCCCAGAATTCTGGCACGGAGGGAATGACTGGATCATACTTCCATTAGTTTTACCACTGAGACACTTCTCTCTAAGACTATGATAAGTTAGTCACCATATCTAGGGGACCAGATTGCTGTGACTGAGACAATCACTCCTACAAAGCATTTCTCAAGGCCATAGGTGTTATACTGAAGGCACACATTCAGTGTGTCTTAATCCAGTACAGAAAACATTCCCTTTTTATTCAAAGGAAGAACCTAGAAAAAGCTGTATGAAGAATAATGCATAGCACCTATTGTCTCAATGGGCAGAGTTTATGAGCAAACTAACAAGGAGTTAGGCTCTCATAGTTCAGTTAGTTCCGTGAATGCTGTATAGTGAGGAGAAACCCCAACAATGCACAGCACATGGTTAACTCACTGTGTGCTATGATTTGTCTTGTGATCTTTGTTGGCGCTAATTTTCTTAATTGATATAGAATCTGTGTAACAAACTAACTGTGCAGAGTATTATTAAGACAATTCTACAAATTTAGAAACTGTAAGGCTTCAGGAAGCTAGTTGTTAAGTTTGAGGACAGAAAGTCTGTCAAAGGGTGTATTCAGAACAAAACCCAGTCTGTTCGACTCTGTGGTTCTGTTCCCTCGCTTGTCACATTCTTCTGCTCCCCCACCTGACAATAAGAACCAGTTAAGTCTGAGGAGTAGAAGAGAAGCCTTATAGATGAACTTGGAAAGAGCGTCAGTGTGTCGAACCCCTTGGTAGCAGTGCATTCTGCGAGCTCCATCTTCACACTTCACCCCTTTTTCCATTCTTGCATCCACAACATTTGTGTTAGTAGTGGTGACATAATGAGTTTTTTTATTTTTATTTTTTATTTTCCAGACAGGGTTTCTCCATAGCTTTTTGGTTCCTGTCCTGGATCTAGCTCTTGTAGACCAGGCTGGCCTCGAACTCACAGATCCGTATGCCTTGGGATCACAAAGAATTCTTCTGCTCTTTTCTGTCGCTGCATTTTTTATACTAGCACATCCCCAGTTCCCTCCTACTTCCTATTATTATTATTATTATTATTAATTTTCATTATCATTTTTATTATTATTTAGAATAGTTTGAAAGACTGTGCTATATAGATGGCTACTTTTGAAAAAATAAAAAATTATATTTCCTTCATGGGAAATGGAACATTCAAAAAACTTGTCTGTGTATGTGTAAGCAGACACATGGACATACACATGTGCTGACCTAGAGTGGTATATTATTTTTGCTTTAACAAGTAAAGCTTGCCTGAAGATCAGAGGGTAAAACAGCCACACTAGTCAACCATACAGACCCGGGAAGAATGGCACATACTTTTAATCCCATGACTCGGGAGACAGAAGCAGGTGGATCTTTGTGAGTTCAAGGCTACCCTGGGCTACACAAGATCAATCCAGAAACAGATCCAAGTGTGGTGGCTCACACCTTTAAACCCAGCATCCCAGTACTAGAGAGGTGGAGATAAGAGCTATATGGCTAGGCAGAGAGAGGAATTTAAAGCGGAAGGGACAGGAACTCACTGGAGTGTGGAGTTTGAGGATTTGTGGAGACAGAATTTTGCGCTTTTAGTATGAAGATTTGGTAGAGGTAAAGGGCATCTCTAGTGTTTGGCTGCTTTGCTTACCTAATCTTCAGACTGAACCCCAATATCTGCGTCTGGGTTGTTGTTGTTTGTGCTATACTCACCTGCAAGCACACAACTGAATAGCTCATTCAAATGTAATTTCAGACTGACAGATTTTGGTCAAAATGAACTCAGAGCTATAAAACTGGTAATCCTTTTCTACTAGAAAACATGTTATTTGACTCATAGGAAAACTAGAATTGTTTTTCTATTTAGAACATATGTTTTAAAATGTTTCAGAGTCATGGAAACTATGTGAATATTTTTCATACACAGTGTTCATACTTGGCAAGCTCATATGCTCTGGTTACTGTATTCTTATTGTTCGCCCTTAGTAGGCTAAAAGCCAGACACTCAATTGAGGCAATGGCTTCACTTTCTCTGCTTTATATCAGTTCTAATGGTAACTTAGCTGTGGGACAAGTATGAACACATACCACAGCACAGCAAATGATACACGCTGCTAACAGTACCAAGAAACAACAAAGCAGGGTTAAGCAATACTGACTCACTTCTTGAGGGTTCTACACTAAATCTAATTTGCACAGTGGGCATTTGGCAACTACACTCTTTGCTTTTCCAAACTCAATAATGTTGCCAAATTGGCAGCTTTGCAACAGCTAAGGGGAAGATTATACGCCTATACCCTGGCGTTCCCTTCTCTCTGCTAAACAAACTCAAATGTGAAACCAATAATCTTTTTCTACGAAAAGATATATAAATGTCAGTTCGAATAACTGGCTACTAGCTGAGTGAATGCGAGGGACCTGTGTCTTCCTGGAATGGGGTATTATTTAATTAAGAAAAAGCAATGAAAAAACAAAGAAGGGGCTGTAAACTAAAGCCCTTCGTAGCCTGACACCAGGGAAGGAGGAACATTGTTAATCCAGAGTCATCTTCACTGATTCATGGTTACCTTCCCGCATCACGGTGTCTTCTTTTGTTGTCTTTACTTGTAGTCCTCGGTGTTTGGAAGAGTTGTGGGGGTTCTTCTTTTGATCCTTAGCCTGGGATTCAGATATATCTTCAGGTTTTATTTCTGTATTGATAGAAAAAGTAGTTTTTTTCTGTTGTTTTCTCAGATTAAAAGACATTTTTTGTTTACAAGAAGGACCTAATTAAGATATCTTCTTCCCTGCTCCCATATCTACCCTTCCTCCATCTCAACCATCCCATTCCCCCAAACTTTCCCCAATCCTCCCCTTCTCCCTTCTCTTTCCCCATCTTCCCTTCCTCCCACCCCACCCTCACCCCCGTGCTCCCAACTTTTGCCCAGCAATCTTGTCTACTTCCAATATCCAGGAGGATATGGGAGCAGGGAAAAAGATATCTTAATTAAGGGAGCCATTTTAGGGTTGACAAGAGACTTGGCTCTAGAGGGGTTCCCAGGTGTCCAAGGAGATGTCCCCAGCAAGGTCCTTGGGCAGCAGGGGAGAGGGTGCCTGAACTGGCCTTATCCCACAGCCACACTAATGAATATCTTGCATATCACCATAGAACCCTCATCCAGCGGTGGATGGAGATAGAGACAGAGACCCACATTGGAGCACTGGACTGAGCTCCCAAGGTCCATATGAAGAGCAGAAGGAGGGAGAACATGAGCAAGGAAGTCAGGACCGTGAGGGGTGTTTCCACCCACGGAGACAGTGTGACTGATCTAATGGGAGCTCATCAAGGCCAGCTGGACTGGGACTGATGGAGCATGTGATCAAACCGGACTCTCTGAATGTGGCAGACAATGAGGGTTGACTGAGAACCAAGGACAATGGCACTGGGTTTTGATTTTACTGCATGTACTGGCTTTTTTAGAGCCTAGTCTATTTGGATGCTCACCTTCCTAGACCTGGATGGAGGGGGGAGGGCCTTGGACTTCCCACAAGGCAGGGAACCATGACTGCTTTGGGACTGGAGAGGGAGGAGGAGGGGGAGTGAGGGGAGTGGGAGGAAAATGGGAGGAGGTGGAAATTTTTAATAAATAAATAAGTTTTAAAAAAAGAAGGACCTAAATGTGAAGGTATTTCTGTCACTCATCTCTTCGCATTGTATTCCATATTTAACAAGATGTATATAATATGCCTATAACTTAAGAAATGATTATATAAACACCCGCTTATAATATTTATATCATTTTAAATTTTGTGTATGTTTGTTTATCTGTATGTGGCTATATACACGTGTATGACGAGACCAGAGACATTGGATCCCTTCGAGCTAGAGTTACAAGCAATTTCTAGTTGCCTGTTGTAGGTGCTGAGAAGCAAACTTGAGTCCTTTGCAAGAAAAGTGTGTGCTCTAAGCTTCTGAATAATCTCTCCAGCTCTACAATTTCGAATTCTTCATGATTCATGATGATATTAACAAAAATTCTTTCTAATTTGTGGAATAAAATTTGTCAACATTTAGAAACATTTTAGAATACTAAAATGGTATTCATGGGGTCATGGCAAAATATTTCAAACTCATGCATGGGTAAAAGCCCCATTTAAAGTATAAGATAAGAATATTTTATAAAGAATAAACTGCAAAGAAGACTACTATCTTTCTTGTAATAAAACACAAAAAGTACTTTAAAATGGACATCAAAAGGCACAAAACAAACTCACTTTGTCAAGTTTAGATATGTGATAAAAGCGTATCTAACACCTGAAAGCCGACTATGATTCTTTCTTATTCTTTGTTTGTGTGAGGCTGGTTGTCTTCATCAAGTTCAGCACAAATATGCCCACCATGCCATTAACACTGCAGCGGCTGGAGAGTCTAATTAGGGAGCCACTAGAGGAGCTTAGAAGAATGCAACAGTGTTCACTGTGTTTTGAACACTCAGTATTTTAAAGACAAAGGTTAATTACATTTATAAGCAATACATGCTTGTGTAAATTAATTGGTAACATTTAAATACTCTGTTCTAACTTCTTACATGGAAATACTGATGGATAGAGCACATACAGAAAAAAAAAACTGCTTATCTTCTCAGTAATTAATCACAATCCAATGAGACAAAGCAGAATTAAAAACTAAATGTATCATTAAGTCGGAGAATTATGTTCTCCTAGAATGTTGAGAAAGAGCACATCTCTTATTCTAAGAAATTAATGATTGTTAATTTTAGGTTCAAAAAGCACAAAATGCATATTATATAAGGAAGCACTTTAGATTAACGACTGTAATCTTCACTAAAGTTCCTTTCAAGCATTTCATAATTTTCAAACATGTCTATAACCTCCTAGAAAAATAAAATGTACTACAGAGAAATTTATCCACAGATATTGACAGGTTTAATGAACAGAAAGGGACTAGGATGGACAACTTATATACTGATAACTGTAGGAAGAAGCTACTTCTAGAACTAAGTGATAAGATTCACAAGGCTTAGTGAATGGCTTGCGAGTGGCTAGTGGAATTAGCTATTAAATTTAGAGTGAGAATTATACTACCTACTTCACAGGATCATATGACATAAAAGAACATGATAATCTACGTTAAAACCAGAAAATATCATATATAAATATATACGCTCAACATGTATTCCACAAACACACATGCATACGTAGCTACAAGAACACGCATACACATGGAAACATACACAAACATACATATACATACACAAACACACATCCTCACTCATATACACATGTACACACATACATACTCAAAACATGCTCACATACACAAATACACACATAGACACATAAATATGCAGAACTGTAGAAAGAACTAACTGCAGGTTTAAACACTAAACAAAATAAAAACTGCAGTTCAACACATTACAGGCAATACAGTTCAGAACCCCTTTGGGACTGTACTCCCTTTTAGAGGATGAAGATTTTGCTAGTAGCTAATCCAGTCCTGGTCACCAGGATAGAGAGAGAGACAGGGTCTCAGACAGAATGCTGTCAGATATGATATTTATCAATTAATGCTGGCCTTCTCTCAAATAGCCCTTGAAAGACCAAACACAGTGGCCATCCTAGTAATCAGGCCTGGCTACATCCCATGTGGTTCCTGTATTTGAATCTTTTCCTGTCGCCTTTACTTATCTTTAAACTTTTTAGGTAATCACAGCTTAAGGTTGAGGTTTCTTGCTGGCGGCTTACATCACTACTGTTTTTTCGGGATACTCAGAGGTACACAGTGTGAGGTTTGGGTGTCAGGAAGGGATTTTTCAATAACTTATCTGCCTCCTTTCCCTGTCATTCTTGCCTTAACAGGAGAAGAACAATAAGAAGCTGCACCTGAGATTCCCCTCGGAGTGTGTAGTAACTTACAAACATGACATTCTGCTTCTGGGGAAATGATCGAGGAGGTACATGGTTTTTGTATCTTCTCACCCACACTGACTTTCCTCCTTCCAGAGAGTTTGCCTCTGTGTTTTTCTTCTTTGACTCTCGCAGCTATGTACCCAACACAGTCGGAAGGCTATGTACCGAAGTGTGACCTTGGACATCTGATGCTTTGTCTCCACCTCAGGAATGTGAGAACTGGGGTTTTAGATGTGACACACTGTGCCCAGTAGTAGGAGGTTCTCAGAATCAAACTCAGGGTTCATGCTAGACCACCATTGTATGTTGCGAGCTGCATTCCTAACCCAGCTCTTTGACATGTCTCTGATAGGGTCACTTGCAAAGATGAGGTTGTGCAGCCAAGCCACATGGTTTTTCTGTGGTGTGTGATAATACACAAGTTACTTACCCTTACTGGATATCACTCTTCAATACCTAGATTGTAGGAATAATAATCACTACCTCTGCCAATAAGTTGTTTAAGGAATTAATAAACTTATTGATCTAACGCACTTAGAACCTGATCAATAAATGTAATAACTTAATATAATTGTTAATATTAAAGATCAGGCAGTGCCCATCTTTATTATATTAATTGAAACAGTGGATTCCATGAAGTTGAATAAATCACAAAATGACATAAAATTTCTTTTGAAGACAGATAAATCAGTAATATATTATACATGATTACTTCAGACATTTTCATCAACCCCCTCCTCTGAACTACATACTTCTATTTTTGTTTTTCCGGAACCAGCAGCATATGAGACAGCTCAGAGCCAGCCATGACACCACTGAGCACAGGGAAAAGGCCAGGATGATAGTGGATCTCTCCTTGTGGGCCACTGGTAAGACAGCAAAGGTCTTGGATCGAACTGTAAAATTAGCACCTGTTTGGGAAGGAAAAAAAAGTTTCAATAACACATTAAGATATCAATATATAGCACAGAGCAGGCATGTGAAAAGTATTTCTTTAAAGTTATTAAGCCGATGAATCAATGATAAATTTAACTTTCATGTTCTAGAAGAAGTCTAAGATGATAATAAAAAGTCATAACGTTTCAGTTCTGTCCTATCATGATGAGAAACTCTTCCAAGTCCTTAATTTGATGCTCAGACCTATTTTTTCTGTCACTGCAAACTTGTAACTTCATTCACTCTGATGGCCTAGTTAGGAGAAAACATGTTCTTTGCTCCAGAAAGGGTGGAATGGGTGGAACTACTCACTTTGATAATAGTCACATCACAAATAAATAAAAATTAAATAGTGGGAATCTGGAATCTGCCTACAGCTCACAACTCTCCACCTCAAAGAACACAAAGAGTGTAGAGAGTACTTTAGAAGATATTTTTTTTCTTTTTTATGTGTATGTGTCTGTGTGTGTTTGTGCACTTGTGTGTAAGTGCTAACAGAAGCCAAGAATAGGACACTGGATCTCCTGGAACTGGAATTGCTGGCATTTGTAAGTTGTCTGACATGGGTGATGGGAACAAACTAGGGTGCTCTTTATGAGCAGCAAGTGATCTTATTGGCTGAGCCATTTATCTATCCCAGATGGGATGGTTTTACATAGAGCCAAACAAATAAATGAATTTAAAATTTGAAGTTTGTTGGATTTGCTTACAGTGTTTTTCACACCAGATCACATGATCTGTACATATGGTGCTAACAGTCCCAAAGTTAAGAACATTGCAATCAAGTACTGGTGATCAGCTGTAGGTACTACTTCTGTGGCTGTAGGTGATGGGGCAAGGCAAGGTACTCCTTAGAGAGAGAGAGAGAGAGAGAGAGAGAGAGAGAGAGAGAGAATTACCTAAAACCACATTTTTTTCAGTAGATTAAAAAAAATGTGGTTCTCATCTCATTATTGTGTATAAAAAAGACACAAGAGAATTTGTTTAGAAACATTCAAAAATTTTAGATGCAATGTTTGTGGTAGTTTTATTCATAACTGACCAAACTCAGTCAAATGTCCTTCAAAAAAAGAAGAAATAAACAAAATGGTTGATCCATGGAATCAACTCTCTTCTCACTCAGCCCAAAAAAGAAAGTGATGGTTTTGCAGAGGATGGTAAATAACCTCCAAAACTAAATTTAATATCAAATGCAATGTACTGAAGAAGCATGATGTCTACAGAGCAGACTCTGTATGATTCCATTTATACAACATTCTAGAAAGGACCATACTTTGGATACAGAACACATTGGTGAGCAGGAGGCTGAGCTGTGTGCACGAGCAGGGCAGAACTTCCTGGAGGAATAATGAAAATTATCTGTATCATGATTGTTTTGCTGCTTACAGTAATCTATACAAGTATTTCAAGTCATAAAAATCCAGAAACAATTCACTTAACCACAAGTAAATTTGAAGAATAACATTTAAAACAAACTTGTCTATAATCACAGAAGTTGTATGCCTTTATTATTAAAATAATTACATGAGAGGACATTAATCAGAATTTACCACATAGCATGCTTTATATTTATGTTTTATCATATTCAACTACTCTAAATATTAAAAAAGAAAAATCAAGATGATAATTTGCTTGTGATCGTGAATTATAGCTGGCCTTTTTCTCACATAGCTAATTCAAAACAAACCTCTAGCTTATTAAAAAAAAATCCCAAATTGTTATTTTCTCTACTCAGAGACACAGCATACATTTTTCCCCCTGTAGTTTTCATGTGAGTGCCTGACAATTTGTTTGGAAGCCACAGTTAGATGTTGGATGTCTTGACTCTGGGATGACTCACCTCAGGGCTCCGAGAGCTGCTGTAATAACATCAGGTACAGTGGCTCTCTTGTACAAGCACATAGCTTAGGTCTGAGCTGAGCTCACCTAGTTTATTCTCAAATACGTTCTTGGTGTGAGCATCTGCATAAGGCCAATTACCCCAGAAATAGAGGAATGGATTTTACTAGCTGCTCAAGGAAGTCAGCCAAAATTCTTAATTCTCTTACCCATTTTTATTAATGATAGTGACGCTAATTGTACTGCTCTTATTTAAGATATGTATTTAAGATATTAAGAAATGACTCAATATAAACAAATATTTATAAAACATCAGAATGTAATACACTCCAGAAAAAATAACACAAATGGATATGATCATGGAAAGCATTCTGAAGGAAAAAAAATGGTCCAGAAGAAACTTCAAAGGAGTAGCACATGCATAAACAAAAGCAGGAGAAGACAGCAGTTAAGGTAAAATACTGAAAGTCAGGGAACTTTTCACAGGCATTAAATGTCAGTCAAGACACTCTAGCTAGCATTCTGACTGTAATGGATTGTAATAAAGGCAAAATTCTAGGCTGAGAAGTGATTGAGTCACAGGGATACAGATTAATCTGTTAGATATGTAAAACACCATCATCACCACAGCAACAATGGCTGAGAAGTCCATTTCATTGAAATTCCAACTGGAATCTGAGAGAGAACAGAAGTCCATGGTGGAAACACCTGGCTTTCATGTATTTTTTATTAATTAATTTTTTTTCCATTTATTTTACATTCTGACCACAGTTCCCTTCCCTATTTTCCCCTTCCCTTCCTTCCCATTTCCCCCATCCACTCCTCCTCTGTCTCCATTCAGAAAGGGGCAGGCCTCTAATGGGCATCAACAAAGCATGGCATATCAAATGGAGTAAGAAACAAGCTCTCTGCATCAAGGCTGGGTGAGGCAACCCAGCATGAGAAATATGTTCCCAAAAGCCAGCTCAAGCACAAGGGACAATTCCTGATCCTAATGTTAAGAGTCCCACATACAGACCAAGCTACACAAATGTCACACACATGCAGAGGGCCTAGGTCAGTTCTCATGTAGGCTCTCTAGCTATAGATAAAGGAATATACAAAGTAGACCCCAGCTAAGACCCTAGCAATAGTGGAGAGGGTGGTCTTCTCTCATAATCAGGTTTGCAACTACCCTAATTATCATCAGAGAGCCTTTATTCTGTAACTAATAGAAGAAGATACAGAGATCCACAGCTTTCAGATATTTTTAACAATTATAATATTAAAAGTAATCCCAATATACTCACTTTTCCATCAGCAAATACTTCTTTGTACTAGATAGATCCATAACCTGGGGATATATCACTCAAATATATTTACCTAAACAGAATACTGTTTCTTAGAAACTCAATTTCTAGTAGGGAACCTAGCCCACAAACTATAGACAAACAAGAGCAATGTATGCAAAGTACAATGGACAAGGCCATGAAGAAAACTAAAGTAAGGAGGGTAGACGACAGAACTATGAGCAGCAGGGTGTCAGGAGTGGATATCACAGACTGAGTTGTGCTAACTGGACCTCTGAAGATAAAACTTTGGAAGGGAGACTTGCTAAGTGAATCATGTGGACTTAAGGAAAATCTTCATATAAAATGCTAATTACAAGCAAAATTTCTTTAGATTAAATGAGGTATGGTAAGGAAAAAGATCCTGTCCCTTGTGATTCACCAAAGAACTTTATGGCTAAAGGTAGTAGCAAGAATTGTCATGACCCATACCGTGGTGACAGATGTTGAAGGGCCAGGTGGAACATCAACACCGCTAGCCTCTACTGATCACCATTTAATAAATAGTATCTCAGGAAGACATAAAATTTGGATTCGTTAGTGCATAGGAAGGACTCAAGAGGATGCCATACAGACACACTAGATTTCTTTAATTTCTCAGCTCTCCGTGGACTCAACTTCTAAAATAAAATGATCCTAAGAGTGAAGCCTGTTTCAAAGACTCATGGTCCCATATGGTCAACATGATGTCAGTAGTAATTAAAGAAGCAGAGTATCCAATTATTTGTTTTTCTTCCCTTTTGTCTTTTTAAGCTTCTATTTTAATTTAAACCTTATAAAAATCTCTATATGCAGAGCTTTGCCTCACAGACTTAGCATTGACAATTGTTTAATAATAATAGTATCTGAATTTATCAAATATGGGCTAATAGTTACTATTTCAGAGTTTTTTATTTGTTCTTTTGGGGAAGATCGGTACATCACAAATTATTTTTGTCTGGTAAAGTTATAAAAGGTATCTTTGAACATGTAACTCAAAGATTATGTCTTTCTTTCTCTATCTCCACCGACAATTGTCTCTACAGGACATGTTAAATCAAAGATTTTCTAGAATGCCATTGCTATTGTCTTGATTCCCTTACTAATGAATTAAACTACTTATAGTCAAGTGTTCATTATATTTTTCCATCTGGGACACATTAGATATATTTGAAGAGAGACATTTTCAAATGCCTTCTAAAGAGTAACCGGATCATTTTACAATTTACCTATGCCTTCTCTGAGTGCTTTTAAGTACTGGAATGTCAACAGGTCTTGTTTCCATTTTCCATGTAGAAAGGATGAGGGAAACAGGACCCAAATTTGGGTCCACGATATTCAACAGCCCAACTGTCTCATGAATTTCTAATGAGTGCAAGTCACATAGAAGAAAGAAAAAGAGAAGAAGGGAGGAAAGGGGAAAAAGGAGGGAGATGTGACATAAATGTCAGCCCCTACAGGAAAATATATATTTAGGGTATTTTTCATTAGGTACCCCTTGAGCCCTAATTTTCAAAGGAGGTCTTGATGGTTTGGCCAAGTCAACGTCTTCTCTAAACTGTGATTGCTTCTTATTCACAAAAGGGGCCATTCCAGTCACAAAGGAGAAGGGCTGCTTTTTCCAAAAACACAGATTTAATAGAACACAGGCCTGAAATTACCTGGAGGGGAGGTAACAGTGAAAACAAAGCGCCAGTTGGACCCAGAGATCAAGACGGCCAATCTGGAGAAGCTCACATAGCCGTCCTGTGTTTCTGCCTGGGTGCATCCTATAAACAAATAGAAAACTGAGGTGAAAGTTACCAAAACGAGGACAATATCTTTAAGTCTTTTCTTGAGTCAGGGAATTGAATAATAAAGAAAAATATTTCAAAAGTATTTAAAAAGATCATAGTATCTATCCATTTCTTCTTAGATAAACCCTGGAACCAAATAACTCAAAACAAAATTTATTGAAACCATAATATTCAAAACACTGTTCTTTATAAATAGCTGTGTACAGTCAATATAAAAACACTATGCAATATGTTATAATAAACATTCTTAAGTTAATTATATAATTTATGGTAAGATTGTAGCCCCAAATATACCTTATTATAAGTTTATATTACTAACTACAACTATGCATTTGACTACTTTCTTGATACATTTCTATCATGTGGTTGGGTTTATAGGTTAGTAGTAGAATGCCTGTCTAGCATATGAAACATGCTGAATTCAAACAGTAGCATCATCAAGAAATAAATTCTGTTATTTGTTTATGGCAGTGGTCTCAACATGTGAGTCATGACCCACACAAGGGTCACATATCAGATATCCTGCATATCAGCTATTTATATTATGATTCATAACAGTAGCAAAATAATGGTTAAGAAGTAGCAAAGAAATAATTTTGTGTATGGAGGTCACCAGAACATGAAGAACTGTATTAAAAGGTTGCAGCGTTAGGAAAGTTGAGGACCACTAGTTCATGGGTTCTATCTCTCTATCTAGGGAATCTGCACTAATGCAATTGTAGAGTTAAGCTAGGGCATCAAGATGACAACAACATGTCATCAAACCATGAATGGAAGAGTACACTGATTTAGCAACATGGATTGCATGGGACTTGGTTTCTCTGAATTAAAAGAAAAGGTTTAAAAGAAGAGATGCAAAGCTTATGGTTTCTAATAAAGTACTCATACATGAAGTTAAAGCGGGCAACTTAACTCCAGCTCACATCCCTATACCATAAACTGCCTTACATCTACTACACCTAAATTACTTTGCAAGTGAATAGCTGTTACACTTCTCTCTGAGAACGCCACCATGGTGGACAAAGAGTTAAAAGAGTCATCTTAAAGTTTCTGAATTTGTTTGTGATGTCTAAGGCTGAAAAGAATCATAAAGATTTAGTACATATTTAGTGTTAACATTTTTCAATTCAATTGCTCAGTCCTTTTTATGAAAACAATGTCTTTCCTCATCAGTTTTGCAGAGCTAACTAAAAGTTTCTTTACACAAACCATATTTTCTTCCATCTCTAGAGAGTCCCAAGATAAATAAAATGCCTAGAAAAATGAAAATAAATAAGCCAAGACTCAAATAAATGATAGGCGCCTAAGATAAATGTACTTCATACTCTTTAAAACCTATATGCATCAAAATTATGGTCAATAAACTCTTGCAAACAATGAACTGCCGAGTACAGATGTTCAACATGAAATCGTTTGCTGCAGTTTTTCCTTTGACAAACGTACTTATTGTTCCCATCTTTGGAAGAATGCAAAGCAGCATTTAATCGAAATGTGTCCGTTGAGCACTGTGGGTTTGCCTCTTAGAACAGCCGCCAAACTGCCTAATGGAAAGTGCTTTAGCTCCAAATGGGTTTGCTTTTGCGTTAAATACCAGCTTGCCTTACAGATCTCCACGAAGATTCCTATATATATCTATGATATTTTCAGATTTGAAGCATATGTGCCCCAAAGCGGAAGCACTTGCTGCCAAGTACAGTACATTACTCCAGGGTCCATCATAGCTTTGGAATGGCTATTATAAAATATACAAGTGTGTTGACAGGCTCCCTGATCAAGCTGGTATTAACAAGGTACTGACTGAGGGACCTTGGGATGAAGTACGGAGGCAGGCTGAAAAGAGCACTGAAATTGGGTTATATAGCCACCGAGAAATCACACCTAGGTGTGTTTCTGCAGAGTATATGGTTTCTAAAATCCTTTCATACCCAAGCATCTTTCATCACCAACTCACTACTTGTAATACATGCTAGCCAACTGATATGTCAATAATACTTGGAAAATATTTTTAAATGTGTAGATTATTTTTCTGCAATTGTGATTCATTTGAGTTTCAGAGGATCCAGGGAGACCCCTTAAATTAATTGCCTTTGTATATGAACCCACTGTTCTGCATTGATGACATGTTTTTCATTGAGTAGGGACAAGAACAGAAATCAAAGACCATGAAATGCAGAATAAAAAACTTAGGATTACACAGAGAGAATATTTCGATGGGTTGCTTTTTTTTTTCCTCTGAGAATTACCTGAAGTAAGTTAGTAAATCCATTCAAAATTGTTTAACTTCCATTTTTTATGAAGTTAAGGAGAAATATTTCAATAATAGGAAATAAAGGTCTGTGAGCATTATAAAAACACAAAAGTATATAATTTTTATCTTGTTTCATCACACACAAAAAAATGAATATTTCTATCAACTTTTCTATTGGATATTCTGAAACAGGCCATAGTAGTAATATCAATCCAAGTAGGCTAGTTGGATTGACATGTCTTATTATTTAGTAAAACAAAACAACAAACTTATCCCTGCCACATTTACATTTCATAACCACAATATTATTTTAAGATAGTTAGTGAAGTCATCCTTAGGATAAGTGAAAGTACACAAAAGAAGGGTGATTCGGAAGAATTTTTAGAAAAGCACAAAGCGTAGAGTCTAAAGAATGGATGGTACTGGAAAACTTGTCGAGTATGACCAAGGTAGTGAGTAAACACAAGATACAAAGTATAAGTGGAGTATTGCCTTTGTATATGAGCCCACTGTTCTGCACTGATGGCATGTTTTTCATTGAGTATGAAAAGGGAATGAATCACTAGTAAGAGAACAACAAATGAATACAGAATGAAATCTAAGTGAAAAGTAGATATGAGAAAATTCTAGAGAAGGTAGAGGCAGATAAGTTCCACCAATCATGTACTATGTGAGGTTATCTTTTGTAGATGATACTAAATATGAAAAGTGCCTGGATAACTGTATTTCTGATTAGAAACTGATTTTGCTGTATACCTTAAGTACTACCTATACAGAAATACCAACAACAACATGGCATTGAGCAACGGACAGAACAGCAGCATCCAAACAGGAATTAACACAACTCTGTCTTAATACAGGTATGAATGTTTGAATTTTGCATTTCCTAGCCCTGAATTGCTTATTAACTTGATTACTCCAATACGTGGTTTGTTCTAGAAAAATGGCACAAGGCATCTTTGAACTTTTTCCTGATATTTTAAATCTTAGTTTCAGACTGTATTATTTAGATAAAAAATGACCCAGAGCAAAATCTATGATGTCAACTCTATCAAAGAGAAAAGGGTGAGGGGAAACTGTACATCTGACCTGTCTATAAGTAGATCTCACCAAATGCATGTGTATATGAGCAGTTATAACAATGTACAACATAGCACTTTATGGGATTATTGAGAACTAGCCATCAGGGAAGAATTTCCTGATTGTTTTAAGATTTATTTCTCTATTTCACCCAATCAAACTACATAGTGTAGCTGTAAGATCTTAATATTTGCTTATGTTGAGTAATGAAGAGCATTAACAACTGCCTGTGCTCTTTTGGAAACCTCTGCTGCACAGAAACTGTTATCAATGGTATCCAATCCTAGACTCTCATGCTACACTATTTACCTTCCAAACAAGATGCAGTTACGGCTGCAAAAGTGGCATGACTATAAAAAGGACAACCAAGCACTTTATAAATGGATTTTAGGTCTGTTACACCTGTGGGAATTTATGCCTGGTCTAAACCTGATCAAAAGCCTATGGTCATGAAGGCACTATGGGGAAACTTACTATTGCTCTTTGCTAAAAGTTTGTGTTATCTAACAGCCTTATAAATATTTCTAATTATACTCATAGATTGAGCTGTTCTTACCTTTTTTCATAGAAGCTTTCTTTTTTCAATGAGCATGACTAAATGCAGATTCTTAAGTGAGCAGAGTAGTGAGAATAAGTGACCATAAGTACTCATCCCCCAGCGAGATATCTGTATTAAACCCTCACCAAGGCTAAGGGAACGTTATGAAAGAGGGAGCAAAAGAAGGTCATAACTGGAAGGTGGAGAGGAGTATTGGAAATGCTCTCTTCTGGATATGACCTAGAACCACATTAATGAATTCACAGATGCCTGCCCAAGACCAAGCTGCTTGGATGGGTAAGGGGCTCACAAGTACCTTCCTTTAGCTGAGGAGTTATTGGTAGTTGATCACTACTAGAGGAGGCACTGTGATTTTTCTTTGGAGGTGTGGTCACTTGTAATGTCCTATGGAAGACCCCATACTCACACACATAAAGGTAGAATAATCTAGATGCAGTGGGATAGAAAATAAAGAGGACATGGGGATGTTTACTGGGATCCTCCCAAGGGAAGTTGGAATGGAGAATATAGTAGTAGAAGTGATCATAGCATACTGTATACATATAAGGAATTTTCAAAGAAGAAGCTTAGAAAATAAGGATAACGAAGTTTTGAAATGTAAATACACCATAGTAACTTTAAATTGACTACAATTCATTGCTACAGAAAAATCATGTCATATATGTTTACTCTCCTTGGTTCATGAACAAATGCAAAATTTGGGGAGTTCCTGAAGAATACATAATCTCAGTTCTCTTTTTCCAACAACAAAACTCTTAATATTAAATAAAATATCTCTATACATATATAATATAGATATACATTACAATTAAAATATAATTAAGCCCCAAGGACATTAGATGGAGCTAGCATTGCTGACAGGATGGAACAAGACAGTAAGAGTGGGCATGAAACCAACAGAGGCAAAACTTCACTATGAAGATTTGCCCTGGGTCAGATGTCTGCACATCTAATGTCTTTATTCTTCCTGCCATTGAGAGTATGTATTTCAGTTTCCCTAATGGGAGCCACGGGTACCAGGCAAATGAATCCCTGGGCAAATCTGTTACCCTTTATCAAAAAGCATGTGTCAGAGGAGCACCGAGTACTGTAGTGAACCTCGAACTTAGACACAGCCAAAAAGTGAGGCTGTAAATATTTATTGCTAGGTTAGTCTTCCTTTTCAGACACATTTGGCAGTGTTGACGGAGATGGAAAAGAACTCAGAGAACTCTTTGAGTGTGCTGTGTTTGTTATGGATTCCTAATGGGGCTGCAATTGTTTGGATAGTGTTAGAGGATGTTCCCTGAGTGTTCATGTGCTGAAACTTAACATCCCTTAACATTACTTGGGGGTGGTAACTATGGGATCCCTGTGCATATTCTGTCAAGTTTTCCTAATTGTAATAGTTTTAACATAGAAAATTATATGAAACACATATTCAATAGAAGTTGAGGAAGGAAATTGATGAGTTCATCAAAAGACAAACATACATAAATATATATGTATGTGTATTGTGTTAGTGTGTGTATATACATTTCATCTTCCTTGCACGTAAAACCCTGTGGCACTCTGTAAGCAAAATGATCACCAGGCCCTTAAGATTCTGTAGTGATGAACCAAATAACCTCCTTTACTCTATAGAATAGCCAGTTTCAGGGCTTTTGTTATAAGCAAATAATGAAGACAATATGAATCTTCATTCTTCAAAGTCGTAACAAAGCCTTGAAAGTTGCTGGCACCTACCTTTTAGCATTGAATCTGAAGCCCCTTCCAGGGAAGCTGAAATAATCCAAGGCTCTGAAGGGAGACCCAAAGACTCCACTCTTTGGTTCTGGCAATAAGATAGGAAAGAGAAAAAAAAACTGGACTTAGAATATCATTTTCTGATGTTCTCTAAAAAAAATGGGCAATGTTCAAAAATAAATGTCACAAAGCACACATGTACTTTGGGGAAGGAATAAAATGATAAATGTGCTCCTTCTCATGTTTACATCAAAATTAACTTGTTGAAAAAATAATACCATGGTGGCTATTGTGTGCAAATTTAAAGCAGTGTAGAGAAGAGGACAAGGGCATTACAGGTATCCTAAGGAGGCTGGTAAGAAGAGAATGTAGGAGAAGATGGCAGGCTAGGGAGATCCCTCATGGCAAAGCAATTGCCTTGCTTAGGCACATCTCTGGGCTCAACTTCCATACACTCAGAATAAAATAAAATAAAATAAAATAAAATAGAACCAAGGCTATGGCGTCTAAAGGGTAGAGTTCGGGAAACACAGGAGTGACTGACTTCAAGAATGAGCATTGGGGAGGAAAAGCATCACAGGTCTGTGTTTGCTTCTGATAAATCTCGAACCTTCATAGGAAATGTGAGAAAACACTGTGTGATGTGCAAAAAAAAAAAAAATGACCAACATCAAGCTTGCATCTGCATAGCACCTTCATCCCTATGTTCTAGTCTTTTTGCCAGAGAAGAATGGTGCCTTATGCAGTCGTCATCAGAGAGGCTTCCTCTGGCAGCAGATGGGAGTGGGTGGAGCAATGCACAGCCAAATATTATATGTAGAGAGAGAGTCTATGTTGGAGGTCTTCATCAGGTCCCTCCCCTTGAAGATTCGGGAACTCCATAGATGATGGGAGGAAAGACTGTAGGAATCAGATGGCATGGAAAACACCAGAAGAACAAGGCCCAACAAATAAACAAGGCAGAGCTCGCATGGCCTCACAGAGACTGAAACAGCAAGCAAGGGGCCTGCATTGATCTGCAGCATGTCTTCTGTATTTATGTTAAGACTGTTAACTTGGTGATTTTGTGGGACTCCTAACAGGGGAAGCAACTGAATCTTTGATCCTTTGCATGCTCTGGAGGCCCCTCCCCACACTGGGTTGCCTTGTCCAGTCTCAGTATGGGACTTTTCCTTGTCTTATTGTATCCTGTTTTGTCCTACTTGGCTGTTGTCTCTTGGAGGTCTTTTCTTTAGAGGGAACAGAGTGGGAGTGGATTTGGAGGAGAGGGTAGATAGTAGGAAGCTGGGGAAGTGGAGGGAGGGAGGGGAAGCTGTAGACAGTATGTATGGTATAAGACAAGAATCTTATTTTCAATTAAAATAAAAAGAATGGCCAACGTAGTGAGAATTTATAAGTGTTGCCAATTTCTCACGGCAGTCGCTCTGTAAATGAAGATGAGGGATGTTTGAATATAAAGTATGTGCTGTGGAAAGACTGTCAGATCTGAGATGTTACCTTCTCATCCAGGAAGATGAGCTGTGGCTGAACCGGCAAATCTACTCCCACTTCCCCATCTGAAGGCTGCACCAGAATGGAAAGTATAGAGGGCCGGGTATATATGCGGCTCCCAGTTCTTAAATGACTTGCATTTCTAGAAAATACAAGGATGAAAGAGATCAATCAATACACTCATAGGATTACAAAGATAGCTTCAGTAGCTATTTTCTATAGAAGAGTTTGACTGGTGAGAATATTTGCAGTTGCCTGTATTTTTACAAACACATACATATGCCATGTAGTGAATAATTCTATTTTTATACATAAATTATGTATCTGATATTTTATGGATTATCCATGCTTTAAAATGTGGGTAAAGCAATGGGAAAGTAAAATTTATTAACTTACAATTTTCATCAGTAAATATATTAAGTTAGGCTACCAAAAAAACACAGTAAAAAATATGATGACCCTGAAATTTTTATAAGGCAAGGGCATGCATGCTCAGCCATAAGCAGCTGAACTAGCTTTCCTGGGATATCCCCTGATTTGTACTGTGCTGCAATATCTGTGACCCAAATACATTCTCACCATGGCTGAATCCAAAATACCAAGATGCCACGAACAAAGCCGGGTGGTGGTGGCGCATGCTTTTAATTCCAGCACTCGGGAGGCAGAGGCAGGCAGATCTCTGTGAGTTCTAGGCCAGCCTGGTCTACAAGAGCTAGTTCCAGGACAGGAACCAAAAGGCTACAGANAAAAAAAAAAAAAAAAAAAAAAAAAAAAAAAGAGAGAGAGAGGGAGGGAGGGAGGGAGGGAGACAGGGAGGAAGGGAGGGAGGGAAGGAAGAAAGAACGAAAGAAAACAAAACAAGATGCCACAAACAAACCTGGGAAGAGATGGCCCCAACATCAGAACACTGACATTTTTCATTTATACTCTCCAAGGGTACTTTCACTAACTAGGTCCCATACCTACACATTAATTCTAGGTTTTAGAGTCATATAGTACCAATAATGATGATAGTATGTGCTAAGTGACAGTGTACCATATACTATCAGCTTTTCCTGTACAAACTCATTATATCTTTAAAAAGACGTTGTCAGTTAGATGCTTTTACTCGGGTTTGAGGAGTGGGGGACAAAAAAAGAATGACGTAGCACAAGTCTTGTAAACCATAACTATTTTTGCCACTTCTCTATACCACCAGTGAAGTATACTGAATCTCACCTTGCCCAAACATGCTAATCACCGGTAAGACCTAGCATAAAATAACCACGTAACTCATGATACCGCAAAGCAACTTTGTTTCAGTGTCTGGTGTGCTGACAGATGGAGCTTATGAGAACATTAAAAACTTATTATTTCTTTTAACTTCTGGATTCCTCATCATAGACATGCAACATCTATTTCCCAAGCAAATGGAGATGTACAGATCAAATACTATACTTTCTGCTCCAACATACAGTGTGATCTGATGAGCGGCATTTAGAGTAGATAGCTCTGGCCTAATAAAGTTTTTATTGTATTTTAAGCCATAGCCCCAATTAAATATTTGTGAGCCATTTATGCGATTTTTGTCTTTTACTCTTCCCTCGTGAGGGTAAGAAAGGATAAAGAATTGTTTACTTCTCAAAGGCCATGAATGGCAGTTCGAGGAGGACATTAGTCCTGAAATCTTGAACAACAGAGGAATGATTACAATGGGTCAAAAAATATGAAGTTTCCATAGGAAGCAATTTCCTTGTGCCCTCTGCTTGTACAAAAGGGTACAAGCAGAGTGGAAGCATGTGGACCTAGGAACTTGGTCTTCCACCTAGCTAAGGTCTTGGCTACTAAAACCTCTCTCTAGAAGTTCTGTGTCTGACTATCATTTTTAGTTTGATTAGTCTGAGTAGCTAAGGTTCCTTCCTTTTTTTTTTTTTTAAAGAAACAGTGTATACTAGTGTTGTTTTGTTTTGTTTTGTTTTAACTATATACTTTTGCTGGGTACAGCTCTTGGAAACATTTAACATTGTTGCTAGATCTCTAATAACATCATCCTTAAATGCTTCCTGATAAGAAATGGGTACAGACAAACATACTGGGTTAAGGAAACTGAGAAACCCATTAAAGATTCTGACACAAGTAAATTGGTATCTGGAGACCCGAGGTTGGGCTGAATGCTTCAGAAAGGCCTGTCCCTGACACATTTTAAAGTTTATTGTGAGCAAACACCTCTTATTAAATGTAAACAGCATCTCACTGGAGGTCAGAGACTCGCCGCTGCAGCATATCCCAAGGTAATACCACTTTAAGCTCCACATAAACTCTTAAGCAGTTTCTATCCTAAAACCTGACCGTAGGTGGTACAGTTTTTTACGATATGTTATAATAGTGCAATAAATCTGTTAGCTTAAAATCGAATCTCCGTGGCCTTTTAGAGAAATCATCATTAAATGCAGGGTCCTGTTAATGATGCCATTGAAGTGAAATTGTTTAATCTGCTAAGGGGGTGAAAGGTCACCAAATGAATTTTTTATAATACATCAACTTGACACGCAATAGGGAAAACTGTAATAGATAAAAGCAAAGGAAAAGGGCACTGTCTTCTTCTGATAGGTCAATAGCAGCCAAGAGAGTCACTCATCCACTTTCCTTTCATGATGGGGCTCCTTTTGCATTTAATATGGACACCCAATTAATACCTCAGTCCCACAGACAACCTCATTTTAGGTGACTTATAGCAATTTCTCCCCCTTCCCTGAAATGAACGTGATCACAATACATCATAGCATTGTGCGAATTAACGTTAATTGATTCAAGTTACCAAGCAATGATGGGCCGCTTATATAATCTAGGCGTTATTGGGTGCTAGAAGGGATGGAGGGAAGATTAGATTCCAGTGTCCGTTGCTGTGACGACGGGAGTCACCTGACACCTTGTTAGACAGTTGTAAGGTTCTATTGCTGGCCCCAGTGGGGTCGTCAGTAAACTGGAGTGATGTCCAAACATCATTACACGCTGCTCCAATATTAAAGCAAAGGGATTAACAACTTATTGCAAGCAACCTGGATTTGTCATTGTGCTGTCGTTATCCAATTTCCAACCGCTAATGTGACTGTAGCCTGCAGGCAGAAGGACCTACAGCCAAACTTTAAAAAATGGGGGAGGAACGTTCCCTCCATCTCCTCCAGTTTCAACAGCTATTTAGCAGCTGGCAATACCCAGTCAAGTATGTGAAACATATTTTTCCTTGCCATGCTTAAGTGCTGGCTGAAGGAGGAAGAGCGTGACAATGCAAAAACTTCCCAGCTCAGAGACCAGCAACATCACCACCGTTCTTCCCAACACGTGCTTCTAAACCTGGCACACATGGCGTGTTTACATCCTGGAAGATGAGACAATGGCAAACATAGAAAATGGAAATGAGCAAACCCTAGTGGTACAAACAAACGGTTTTCCAACAGGACCGCCTGTGGTGGCTGACGGTGGCGCAGGGGGTTTTGGGTACTTCACCCCTCCAAGGCCGTTTACTGGGTTTCCGCTAAACAAAACAAAAATAAATCCCCCCCCCTTTTTTTTTATTAGCTTTCCAGGGTAGCCTGCGCTACCATGGTCTCTCTGGTTTTCAATGGACTAGACAAATGGCACAGCCTATATGTGCCACAAAGGGGACCTGTACAAGGGAATAGGTGATCTCTGTACCTTGGAAGGAAAAAAATAAGTTTTCCAGTCAATTCAAGTTGGCAGTCAATGTTAGACCTCCTATTATGTATAAAACTTGCTTGAGGCAATGTGAGATATGCAAAGAGAAATGCAGCCCTCTAACTCTGCCCCTCGGCAGGATGATTCTATGCCTCTGGAAGACAAGAATGACTGACTTCCCTAGGTATCTGTCTGAACTGATACAAACTGTTTTATGCACATATAATGATCATATGATCCCTATTTATCCCAGGCAGCCTCCCTTAGGAGTTGCCCTCCCTAGTTAGGAAGAAATGTCTTATGATCTAATGGCGTTATGTCCCAGTAATTTCAAGTCTGGCACATCACAAGCCCTTACTCCATCTTACCATAACACTTTCTCTGCACTTAGGTCATGAGTTGCATCAGAAAGGCTACTACCTAGCTTGGCCTGGCCAATTTTAACTTTAGGTGCACCATCCACACGGCCATATTACTTCTGGACTAAATTATTTGTGACTGAACACTTGAAATAGCCTGAAATTATCCACTTAAAATAGCAGCATGCCAATAGTAAACAGGATACATCTTTTAAAAATTTCAAAGAAATGCAAACATTCCAGAAAAAAATCTAAAATATTCTAATTGGTAAGTTATTTAAGATATTATTTTATGATAAATCTAGCATGAATAAAATTTAGAATTAAAGTTATGCAGAAGAATGAAAATAAGAAGATTCTATACAAATGTTCAAATTTTTCTGTTTACATGGAGGCATGGTAGTGATAAAGAGGAAGCGACCTGGTCAGTTGTCCTCATCAGCTTAGACAATGAAACCCAATACAGACAAATTCAACAGAACCACCATATATTGGAAGCCCATGCATGCTTCAGCATTGCCAGGACATAAATTTCAACTGCACTAATAGTAGTGGTAAAAGTTTAGTTAGAAGGAAACAAAAACCTCTCAAAACCTTCTTAGCCGAAGAGATTAATACAAAGTGGTGAAAATTGTGGGCATGGAGATCTTTGTGTTCACAGATGAGCACTAGGGGAACCTGGAGTATTAATCACACAGAGCTGTTCCTTTAAGGGAAGGGATGCTGTGCTTGTTATCTACCCAGAAGGCTGTGTGTACCAGTCTGGTGACCTTTGCTCTATCTGTGGGGATAGAGACTGTCCTAGTGTCAGATTGTCCCCAGACCCTTACTGTAAATTTGTTTTCCTCCATAGTCAGTCTATACAACCTGTCATTATGGACTTCACAAAGAGATTTCATGCATTCACTTCTGATCCATCTTTAGCTTACTTTGTTCCTCAAGAAGATATATGCATACTTAGTTGTGCACGTGGGTTTGTGTTAATTATCACCAGAGTAAGTTTTCACCAAATTGGTTTAATTATCTACATCAAATTCTCTAGGTTTTCAATAATGATATAATAAAATATTTATATATATTGTTTAAATTGGTGTAATATGTTGGACATGATAGCTGTTCAGATAATATTTGGGAATAAAATTTGCTGAAATGTGAGTTTTCATTAGGTTATCTTATTTATCTATACACTCACTATATGTTTCTACAGATTTTAATGCATCTTTAAAATAGTTTGGATTAATTTTTGGAACAGGAATCTATTGTGCATGAGAACAGAGACCTGAAAGATGCAGGGATGTTAGCAGCAGTAACAGATATAGATAACAACTTATTCCCAAGGAAAAGCACAGAATAACATACAAGCTCCAAAACAGCAATCAAGGATGCATTGCTCTCAAGCCATTTAGTATAAGAAGAGTAGACCTTAAAGACATTAGGGCAGACATAGAACTCTGAAATGCATGGTAATCTCACTGATGACCAAGGTGAATCATCAATAAAAGTGAGACTGTGAGTTGGGAATGAATTGTGAATGTCCTTCTATGTTCTATTTTTTTTTGCTTTTTTTTCTATGTTCTATTTAATAAGGCTAGGTATTCAACTTTAACTGAAAATTTGTATTTCTTTCCTTTCTTTATAGTCCATTATAATTTCATATTTACTAAGTACACAAGCATCACCATGAACTTCTGATCTTCACCCTCCTCTACACAAGTGATTTTACTGTAACTGTGTGTTCGTATGCAGAGTGAGGTGGCAATGGGCAACAAACTCAAGGATTAAAGCACAGTAAGCTAACACTCTACCAATTGAACTGTAGTGTCTGACCATTGGTGCTACGGGTCTGAACTCTGGTCTCCATGCTTACAGGGTAAGTCATTTACTCATTGAGCCATTCCCATAGTTCCTTAAATCATTTTATGGGCCCTTTTCTGCCCTAACACCATTGGCACATTAAGTTGTTCTCACACCTTGAAGTGCTCTGCTTTCCTCTTTGGACTCTTTCCTATGGCAGGAAAAATTCTGCTTCTCTAAGTCCAAGGTGTTTGAATGAGCCAACTACAGTAACTCAGGTTGGCCTTCCCATTTTAAGGTCAAATGTGCCACAGAACATAGTAACTAACAAAGCTATTTCTTCATCATTCTGAGGGCCAGGAGATTACAGAGGTGTGTCTTTAGGGAGACATCACAGAAGTTCTGCCAACTACAGACAGCGTTGGTATTTTGACACTTAAATTTCTGTAAGGGAGATAACCAGAACTAATTTTATTATTTACTGATACTGTATGTATGTATGTATGTGTGTTTGTATGTATGTATGTACCAGATTATATACACCCTGGCTCAATACACGAAGTAGTGAGCAATCTAGGAAGACATCTCAGTCTCTGATATCAATATGCACAGGTACCTATGAGTCCGTGCATGCATAGTCTAGTATGAGAATGAGTGAGTAAAGAGACTGGAGAGAAAAGAGAAAGAAATGACAGATCTTCAGGAGTGAAGATCAAGCTTCCAGTGAAAGGATGGCAGGCAGCAGTGCACATTCTGTTGGGACTTCTGAATACAACACATGGAAACAAGATCCCAGCGGGGAACTTCTACCTTAAAGAGGGAATGTACAATATGTGTTCCTCTCATCCCATCAAAATCTCCACTGAAGCTACCTAAAGCATGAAACTGGGTAAGGCAGTGTGGAAAAAAAGAAAGGAATAAAGGAAATAGGCAAATGGACAGCAAAATGACGGCATATGTTAACAATAGTTTGAGAAATGAACAGCAAGTCCATGCAACTGTCCTAAGCAGGCAGAGGAAGTTAAAATCCAAATGTCCTGACAGGAGTAAAGGGAGAAATTGACTGCATACCCAAAAAGTAGACAGCAACTTCATTTCCCCTCACAGTCTAACGTGCTAGTTTCTTGAGAATAAGTAGTGATCATCTGGTAATATATGTTTCCAAGATAGCCTCATTTGTTGAAATGCCCGCAACCCCTGTATATACACGAAGGGAACTTCCAAAGAACTTCGTTAGTGGTTCCCCACTGAAAGGAACTCATGTACAAACTCATCTCTGGTGTCTCAAGGGCAATTCATTAGTGTGCCAATGACTCTCGGAGTTCAGTAAAGGTCCTAATTGATATTGGTAAGAGCTGAAAGACACCAAGCTGGCCTTGGGGCCTGTGTATGGATGGCTCCAAGGCTTTTCAGCATACTGTGCAATGTTCAGGGACAGGGGAACATTGGTAGGATTTGTCAGTTCTATGCATGCTGATTCTCACTCAGCAGACATTTCTATCAGGTACGCTTTTCTTTATTTTCCCATGGTTTATGGTTTTTGCCATACATTTGGAAAATCTCTCTTAAGATACCAGGTAAACAGAGATGGGGAAAAATAACCAATATCAGGGGAAAGTCCAAACCATATTATTCATGCTTCATGATTTTTTTTATTAGATCAGAAAACTCTGAGTCAGGAGTGAAGATGACATGTTATGAGTGCTGGTGAGTGGTAGAGGTGACCTTTGTGCTAAAGCCATCTCATGTCTACAGGATAGGATGATTTGCCCCACAAACATGTGCTACATTCCTTCTTTGCTCTCCGTTCACTCTGCAGGGTTCCCCTGATGGACCTTCACTACTTCTAATCATTCTCTTCTCGTATACTAAAAGATGAATACACACTGCAATGTTCAATATTTTGGAACAGTGAACAAAATAAAGCAACAGGCTATAGCTTTTATCTGTAGGTATACATATAGATTTATAGGAACTTAGTGAAGCCTAAATGAAACTACAGTAAGAGAAAAAAATGAAGCAAAACCAAAACACATTAGCACCATTGATACCCAACCCATATGACCATACAGAATGTAGGAGTAACACTAGGGAGCATGGCAGACAGATAAGTGGTTAAAAGCACTTATTGCTCTTGAAGAGGACCCGGGTTTGGGTTCTTGTACCTCCCTGGTGACTCACAACCACATGAAACCCTAGTTCTAGAGGATCTAATTCCCTCTTATTACTTCCACAAGTACCTGATATACATGTGGTATACATACATACATACATACATACATACATACATACATACAGGAATACACTTGTACCCAAAAAATAACACAATCTAAAAATAATAGTATCAGTAATTGGTTAAAATTTTGTGCTTGGCAAAAATACTGTTCTATATTAGAAGGTGTTGTTTTTGTGTCTATCAACAAAATGAATACATGTGTTCTCATTGTTATAGTGAAAACTGTAATACAAACTATTAACTAATGAGCTTCCATATGGATAGTTACTCTACATAAAATTTTAAGTACCCTCTCTCAGAAATGAACATTCTTCTGGGTAGCCAATATATGTGATAAGTTCCTGAAATCATATGCAAACCAGCAACAAAAATGTACTGAGCATGTTATATTTATATATTTTATGCAAACACTCAGAAACATATACATACACATCTGT